ACATGTAAGTCTTTAATCCATTTTGAGTTTGTTTTTGTGCATGGTGTGGGAAAGCAGTCCAGTCTGATTCTTCTGCATGGAGCTGCCCAGTTTTCCCAACATTGAAGAGACTGTCTTTTCCCCTGTGTATATTCCTGCCTCCTTTGTCGTAGATTGACCACAAGTGTGTGGGTTTTTTTCTGGGCTCGCTATTCTGTTCCATTGATCGACATGTCATTTTTGTGTCGGTACCACACTGTCTGGTGACTATAGCTCTGTAGGATTGTTTGAAATCAGGGAGTGTGATACTTCCAGCTTTATTTTTCTTTCTCAAGATTGTTTCAACCATTTGGAGTCTTTTGTGTTTCCATACACATTTTGGAATTGTTTGTTTCGATTCTGTGAAAAATATCATTGGTATTTTGTTAGGGATTGCATTGAATCTATAGATTGCTTTGGGTAGTGTGGTCATTTTAACAATATTAATTCTTCCAATCCATGAACACAGTCTATCTTTCCATGTTTATGTCGTTTTCAATTTCTTTCATCAGTGTCTTAGACAGTTTTCTGAGTACAAGTCTTGTACCTCTTTGGTTAGATTTATTCCCAGGTGTTTCGTTCTTTTTTTATGCAATTATGAATGAGTCTGTTCTCTCACTTTCTCTAATAGTTCCTTGTTAGTGTATAGAAATGCAACATATTTCTGTATATTAATTTTGCATCTTGAAACTTCACTGAATTCATTTATTAACTCTAATAGTTTTTTGGTGATTTCTTTGGAATTTTCTATGTCTAGTGCCATACCATCTGCAAATGGTAACAGTTTTACTTCTTCTTTTCTGATCTGGATTTTTCTTCTCTGATTGCTGTGGCCAAGACTTCTAATACTATTTTAAATAGAAGTGGCAAGAGTGGGCATCCTTGTCTTTCTCCTGATCTTAGAGAAAATACTTTCAGCTTTTCACCTTAGAGTATGCTGTTAGCTGGGTTTGTCATAGATGGCCTTTATAATGTGGAGGTATGTGCCCTAAATATCCACTTTGTTGAGAATTTTTATCAAAAATGGATGCTGAATTTTGCCAAAGTTTTTTCCACATCTATGGAGATGATCATGTGAGTTTTATTCTTCAATTTGTTAATGAACTGCATCACATTGATTGATTTGTGAATATTTACCCATCCTGGCGTCCTTGGGGTAAATCCCGTTTGATCGCGGGTAAAGCGTTATTGAATTTGCTTTGCTAATATTTTGTTGAGGATTTTTGCATCTATGCTCATCAGGGATGTTGGCTTGTAATTTTCTTTTTTGTGTGGTGTCTTTGTCTGTAGTGTCTTTGTTTCTGCAGTTGGAGCATATTCCTCTGGAGCCTCATTTTACCTAATTCTCTGTCTTTATTTCTGTGTATTAGGCAGGTCAGTTATGCTTCCTGATCTTGGAGAAGTGGCTTATGTAGGAGACGTCCTATGAGGTTCAGCAGCACACTCCGCTCTGGTCACCAAAGCTGTGTGCTCTAGGGGTGCCCTTTAATGTTGTGGTGGAGTCCTACTGTGGCATGCTGGTAGATGGAGCTGACCCCTGGCCAAGTTGGCTGCCAGACCTTGACTCATTTAGAGAGCACTGACTCACTGCTGGGCAGGGCCTGGTCCCAGGGCAGGCTGGCTGCAGGACCTAGGGGATCCTGGTGGTAGGTGGGGCCGGTCCCCCCACTGCTGGCTGCTCAGCCTGAGGGCTCCCAGGACTGGTGCGAAGTAAGCCCCCAGCACTAATAAGCCAGAGGGAGGACTCCAGAATGGTGCTTGTCAGCACCTGTGTCCTTGTGGTAGAATGAGCTCCCAAGAATGGCTTCCAGCAGCACTTATGTTCCCAGGGGGAGCCCCAGTGGCCTCCTGACTCTCTGGGAGGCTGAGATCAGCAAATGAGTCTAATTCAGGCTCCTTTCAAATGATTGCCCCTGCATTGGGTCTTGGAGCATGTGACACTGGGCACACCCTTTGAGTGGAGACAGTTTCCCACAGCCCTCTGGCCCTCCCATGCACCAGGCCTACTGGCCTTCCAAGCCAGCTATTCCGGGGGCTCATCCTCCCAGTGCAGGACCCCGTGCTGGGGAACCTGCTGTGAGGCTCAGACCTCTCACTCCTTGGGGAGAACTGCTGCAGTTGTGATTATCTGCTCATGTGTGGGACACCCCGTGGGGGTGTGGGTCTCCACTATATCATGACTGCACCCCTCCCACCCATGTTGTTGTGGCTCTATCTTTATATCTTTAGTTTTAGAAGATCTTTTCTGCTGGTCTTCAGTTGGCACTTATCGATGGTTGTCCTGTAAACAGTTTTACTTTGGGTGCCCGTGGGAGAAGGAGAACTCAGGGTTTTCTGACTCTGCCACCTTGGCCATCCCTCCTCCCCACTTCTACACATAACGATTCTTACATTGCATTACTCAAAGAATTCATCTGAAGACCACCTTCCTATCTGGAATGGAGTCTGGGAAATGCAGTCTTTCTTCTGCATGATCACATGCCTAGATAACTTTGGGGGACTTTTTCTGGGGAACAAGTGGAGGGTGGGCAAGGATCCTGCTCCCCATCCCAACTGTGTTCCCAATCCTTCCTCTTCTGCGCAGCCAAGAAGTGTTCCCTGAAAATGTCCCTTGTCACCTGCTTCGTAATACGTATCTTTTTGTTGGGCCATTCCCATCTGCACGGCAATGTGCCTTTAAAAGTGAACAACAAGATCTACCTCCCACAGCAGCCTCCTGGTCTCTCTTCCCTTGGCAGTGAGTCTCCCTGTGTGGTCTCCCCCTGCCTCCCCTCTCCTTCCCCTGCCCCACCCTGCTCCTGCAGTGCTGCTCAGTCCCTACCCTGAGGCTGTTTCTAGGGGATCTTCCCACCCCTGGTGAGCCCCCATCCCAGCGGACAGGGGTTTCCTCCCCTTCCCTCTCAGGTTCTCTTGTCCCCTCCCTCTGTGAGCCTTGTCCCCTCCCTCTGTGTGCCAGGTGCCAGGGCACTATCCTTGGCTGGCCTTTCCTTTCTCTACCGACTGTCTGCCAGGGGACACCAGGGCCTGGCCTGAGGGACCTCCTGTGGGATGAGAGCCCCAGATCTCTGCTTCATGCCCCTCCCCCTCCACCCCAGAGCCTCCCTGCCATCTCAAAGTCTCCCCTAGCTCAGAACTCCCAATTCCTCGTCTCTCCTCCCGATGACCCCCCAGCTCCAGGCCAGAAACCCTGGACTCCTTTCCTGCATGCATCCAGCCTGCCAGCAAAGCCTATCTGCTGTGTAGCTCAGACCTGCCCATAACCCTCTCTGTTCCTCTCTGCCCCACTGGGGTTCAGGCTCCCCTTCTCTCCCCGCACAATTCCTGCAACCTCCTGGCCTTTCCCCACCCCTGCCCAGATTACAGTGCATGTCTGCTTACAACTCCCAGTGGTTTCCCATTGCAGAGAGAAAAACCAATTCCTGCCTCCCCCTTGAGCTTTCTCTGACCAGCCTGCCCCCTTGCAGCGTCTCCAGTTCATGCAGCTCAGTCCCGCACCACGCACTATGCCCTTTACACTTCCTGCCCTCTTCCCAGAAGCCTCTCCGCCTGAGCGCCACATGACCCTCAGATCCTTGTCTCAGCTCAAATGCTGAATCCTTGGAAAGATCTGACCCCCAGATGAAGGAACCCCACCCTCCTCCAGGCACTTTGCAGCAAGAAGTCAGCGCTTCAGTCTGGGTCTCCCTTAGGATGTCGTCTCTGGGAGGGCAGGGGCTTGGCATGCCAGGGGAGGGGGGGAACTGAATCCCAACCTGAAGCCTTGGTAACCGATCTGAACAGCCTCCTGGAGCCCAAGGGGCTGGCACACAGCAGACAGGCAGCTTGGGCACCCTAGGCCTGGCTCAACCACATGGCACTCACTCACCCAGGCAGCCTAGCTCCTTGGCCCACATGCCACACACCTCACCCCCTAGTCTATCCAAATCCCTCCATTGCTGAGTTCTGCCCACCCTCTTGAGCTTTCCCTGTAGGGAAAGCTAGGCCCTGCCACTCTGGGGACAGCTTGGGCCCCATCCTGAGGAGTAGGGGGTCCCTGCACTCGTGCCTTGAGTAACAATTGCCTAAGGCAGTCCCAGCAGCCTCTGGTCCCTGCTCCAGAGACAGGCAGGGATGCTGGGAGTCAGTGAGTGACTCTGAGCCAGGGTTCCAGGCAGGTCCAGCTTCACAGGTATGTGATCTGAGCAATCTGCAGGACCCCAAGCTCAGAGGAACCTGTGCTTGATTTAACACTCTAGTACTGCTGTCTGGAAATTCTTACTTTTTAACAAAGACCTCCACATTCTCATTTTGCATGGGGCCCTGCAAAGTCTGCAGCTGGTCCTGGTGCCAGGGATACTCCGCTGACACAGTGCACAAAGGCCTGGGTCATGAGCATGGCCCTGAGGGAAAAGGCTGAACAGGAAGCCAGGTGGACAGTGCCAGGTGTCTCTGCTTTCTCTGCTCCCACAGCAGCTTTCACCACCCAGAAGTGAGAACACCCACTGGACAGGGAACCTGGGACTGGGGTTCCAACAGGCAGGCAGAAGCCCACTCCAGGGACACCGTGGCTCTACTCTGCCAGCGGGCCTGAGGCTCTGGCAGAGGGCTCCATGGCAGCGCCCTCGGGGCGTGCCTAGCCAGGATCCACCCTCTAGGCAGAGGGCCCGACCTGCTGCCGTTCCCCCATCCCAGCACTGATTGGACTAGAGCAGACACCTGACCCAGAGTGGACCAATCAGATTCTGACTCCTGGATCCCACTCACTGGTCCGCACTTCCGACGCCAAGTAGGACCAGTTCAGTGCTACTGACCAAGAAAGGCAAGTGTGTCCCACACGTGTCCTGGAGGCCTGGCCTCTTGTCATGGTCACTCCCACAACTACCCCCTCTTCCAACCCCAACTCCAGGCTGCTCCCTGACAGGCTCCCTGACGCCCTGTGAAGTGTGCGCTAAAGGAAGACCCTGGAGCAGGAGCCCCCAAACGCACGGGGGAAACGACCAGGCTTAAGCAAGAGGTCACTTTATTGAGAGGAAGGCCAGTAGTCGGTGGAGCTGGGATATTGGAGGAGAAGGGCGAGCGCAGTCCTGGGGTCGGGGAGGGGGTGCCCGCCGGCAGCATCACACGTCCAGGTCGGACCCAGAGCTCAGCTTGTCATAGGCACGGGTCTTGCGCAGCGCGATGCCTGGGCTGAAGGCGGCCCCCAGCGGCCAGTGGCGGACCACGTGCCGGTAGGAGGAGGCCAGACTGTCGAAGTAGTTAATGTTGAGCTTCCGGGCGATGTGACGACCCAGATATTCCATTTGCTGTGGGAGTGGGTAACGGTCAGCTCTTGTCAGGACAAGAGGAGCCCCGCCACCCGCAGCCGCGGCGCCCCCGAGGGGTCCCCTCCCCTTGCAGACCGCATCTGCAGCCCTGCCCGTCAGCCCCCGCGCCCTCTTCTGGCAGAAGACCTTGTTGTATGCACCCTCCACCTGCGAAATGGACTCATCCTAGCGCCCTAAACAGTGGCCGGCGTCATGCTGAACCGAGGAGGGAGGGGAGTGTGTCTGAGGCCCCTAGGCCGGCTGGGTGGGACCCACCTCGTAGCGCTCTGACAGCTGCACCAGCACCAGCGGCTCCAACTTGTGGCCGCACAGAACCAGCTGGAAGAAGCACCTTCTGTAGGCTGGCAAGAGGCAAGCGGCTCAGCTCCGGGGCTCTGGGGAGCGGGGACGGGGGCTTCGGGACCGGGCATGGGCCCGTTTGCCCGCCCCTCCCCACTCCACATGGCTTCCCCTTCCCTTGCACGCAGCCCCCGCATCTGCTGCCCGCCCGGTGCGTCACCGTCGGAGCTGAGCGCCAGGCGCACGTAGACCAGATGCATGGGCCCCTGACATACAGTGCGGCCCTGGATGGAGAAGTGGTACACGCCGCGCGTGTGGTTGAGCACTAGGCGGCGTCGCGGCAGCGACGAGATCATGAGCCAGAGGCCGATGCCCATGCCGTAGGCGGGGAAGCCCCAGGTCTCCTGCTTCCGTACCTGCGGACACCGCGGAGACCTTCTGAGCCGCCGCGGGGCCCCGGGGCGGGGCGCCGAGTGGCGGGTCCGGCCCCCACGGGAGGGAGGCCTTGAGGAGCCGGCCCAGCATCTCAGACCTGGCTCACGAGGCCGAAGCTGACGAGCAAGAGGCAGACGACGAAGAGCAGAGTCCCCTTCCACAGCGTGTCCAGGTAGTACTCGAGCACGAAGACTGGGGGCGGCGCGGCGGCGGCGCATGAGGACAGCGTGCCCTTGCTCGCAGCCGGAGGTGACAGAGCCAGGGTCGGGGCCCGGAACACCAGACCCACACAGGGCTTGGGGCCCGGATAGGCGTCCAGCCTACAGTTCCAACGTCCACTCGCGTGCGACCGGCTCTGCCCAGGGCCTTGCCCTCCTGTTTCGCCTCGGCTCCGCCCTGTTCAGGTCCTGGTCCCGCCCAGGGCTATGGCTCCGCCCCATTCAGGTCCCCACCCCGCCCCGCGTCCCGGGCCCTCCTGGTTCTGATTTCCTGACCCCGCAGCGGTCCACGCGCACCGTTCGGCTGCTGCTCCGTGAAAGGGTAGAAGCTGTTGCTCCTGAGGCGCTTAGCCAAGTTACGCTCGGTGCAGAAGAGTCCTAGGGCCCAGAGCTGGAAGGGCTTGCCGCCGGAGGTCGTGGGCAGGCTGCTGATCCGGCCCTTGCGGACCTGAGTCAGGTAGAGGCAGTCAGCCGAGCGGCTCATCTGTTGCCACCGCCCACTGCCCACAGTCACGCTCATACCTGGGGGAATAAAACCTCCAGGATTGCGGCCCAGGAAGGAGCAGGAGCTCTCAGGCAATGGCAGGGGAGCGATGCCAGGTGGCAGTCCAGGCTGGGCTGCGCAGGGTTCTAGAAGCTCTGAGCGGCGGGTTCTAGAAGGGCTCGTCCTAGTGATCATTCCTTCTCCAGGGAGTCTCCGGTCCAGGCCTGTGGTGGGCGTACACTTCCCAGTAGTCCCCACCCCCGTACAGCCTGGTTCAGTCTTCACCTGAAGGTGGAGGAAGTGGACATCCCAGGCCTGAGCTGGAATCTGCAAGCAGGTGCCCCACCACGAACCCCATGGCTAAGCATGGCTTTCATCTCTCCATTGCCACCTCTGCCCAGGCCAAATCCTCACATACAACCACGGACAACTCAGCTTAGTGTCCCTGAGGGTAGCGCGTGTGCGCACACACACACACACACACATACATACTCCCTCTCTCTCCCAGTCCAAGATTTGAGCCCAGGAGTGAGAAGGTAAGACACAGCCACATACAGACTCAGGGGCCCTGGGGGCCACCTCCAAGCCCACAACACACAGGTTCTGGGCCCATTCTAGCCCCTCAGGGACAGCCCCTGTTCCCTCACCCTGATCACAAAGAACACACAAGAGTTCCTAAAAATGTTTTATTATAACGCTCAAACATTCAAAACTGGGAAAGGGTGCAGGCCAGGACTGGCCGGCCGAGGAGTCTGGAGCTGCCTAGCTGACAGAGGCGAGGCTGGTTAGCAGCTGCTCCAGGCACCACTGGACTTCCCCTGGGCCCCTGTAGGCCCGCTTCAGGCCCCGGGGCAGGCAGCGGCAGGACTCCAGGTTGAGGTACAGCAGACCCGGGCAACTGCTGATCACAGAGCTGTGCGGGCAGGGCAGACCACGGGGGTTAAGCCACTGGCCCCGACAAGACCCAGACCCCGACCCCAGCAAGGCCTGGGTAGGGAGACCTCTCTACCCTTGCACCACAGCTGGCTCTGTGACCTACAGCCACCAAGGCCTAAGCCCCATACTCTTGATGTCCCCAAGGCCAGCCCCAAGCAGGGGCTTGGCCAATATGGGCACCCTTTTCAGACCCCTGGAGCTGGCAAGCCAGGAGAACAGGAGGGCAAGCCACACGGGCCCCAAAGAACTGACAGGGGGAGGGGGGCACTAACCTGACTGTGCTTGGTGTGACCTGGGTGCCCCTGAGGTTGAGGGAGCACAGGGCTGGGTGTGAGCCCTCAGGGGTGCCTGAGAAGGCGGCTAAGGCCTGCTCCAGGTCCTTCTCGCTGAAGCCCTGGCCACTTAAGTCCAGTTCCCGCAGTGTGTGGCACCACTTCTGGGTCAACAGAGGGCTGCCCTCCTTGGCTAGAGTCAGCCGGTCTGACATGCCATACAGGCCCAAGTGAAGCTGCTCCAGCTCTGGAGGTGACAGGAGTGGGCATGAGCTGTGGAGCGGGCAAGGACCCCCACATGCCACCTGTCCAGCTACCGCCCAGGGAGAGCTGACCCTGACACGGCAGATCATGCAGGCCAGCAGGTGTGATTCGGGCACAGCCGCGAAGGTCCAACAAGCGCAGGTTAGGGGAGCCGTGGAGCAGGCGGTCCAGGACCTCATTGCTCACGAAGTTGCAGGTGGAGCTGGCAAGGCAGAGCTCCTCCAGGCTGGGGAAGCCTGGGCCAGGAGTCGCTGCTCGCCCCGAAGGCCTGGGCAGCCACATCAGGTTCAGAAGCCGCAGCACCTGGGAAAAAGGCCCAGGCTGCAGATGGGGAGAGGGGTGACGGGTGGAAGAGGTGGGGCATCAGGTACCTGCAGCTGGGGGCAGCCTTTCTGCAGAGCCTCTACAGGAAGTTGGAGGGGAGTGATGTTGTGGTTGATGCCAGTGCTCACCTCCAGGACCTGAAGCTGTGGGCAGCAGCTGCCCTGCAGGGGCAGGAGAACACTGGGTCAGTGGCCTGGCGGGATCGGGCTCAGCATCCAGCTCTGCTCCTGCCCATCACAGACCTACCAGCAGTGCACCCAAGATGGCTGTTGTCTGGGAGCTGTAGGTCAGCCACAGCTTCCGCATTCGGGGCCCTGCCTCCTCCAAGAAGCTCACCACAGCCGTGGACTCCACCTGGGGACCCAGCACAGGGGTACCTGTCACCTCAGCCCAGGCTTCTTTGGGGCTGCTGGGGACACAGGGCTCACCATGGAATGTTGTACGTCCAGGCTGTGGAGCTGGGGGCAGGCTTTGGCTAGCATGATCAAAGTGTTGGGGGTCACACCGTGGCAATCCGAGAGCTTGAGGAAGGTAAGCCGAGGACAGGACTCACTAACCAGCTGTGGAAGACAGGGCCAGCTGGGATGCGGGGAGTGAAGGCTGTGATCCACAAAGTAGAGACTGATGGTTGGCACCAACCCCACTTCACTGCCTCAGCACTGATCTCCTTGCTGCCCTTGCCAGGCCTACCTGGGTGCTCCCATTTCTCACAACTCCCAGCTGGAGGAGACACCAGGAAAGGAGAGCCAGGCAGGCATCCCCATGGGGCAGCATTGGGCCCCATGGTGTCTGACCCACTCCCTGGAAGTACCGGGCAACCTCAGAGTGTCATGGCTGGAGTGCAGGGCAGCCTGGAGCTCTCACCTTCAACACAGGGTGTAACTGGGACTTCCAGTGGATGAGAGTCAGCCTCTGGAGCTGTGAGAACCTGGGCCGACAGCAGAGGCAGAGCTGCACAGCGTTCCCAAGCTGCCCTTCTGTCAGCGTTCTCCCACCTATCACGCTGGTGCAGGGAGAGGAAGGGGTCTGGGGCTTCCCACACATCACACAAATGGAGTGAGGGGTTAAGACAAAGATGGAATTCCTCACCGATTAGGGATAAGCCACTCAAGGGAAGCAAGGAGCTTCTTCTCAGCCTTGGCTCCGCCTTTGGCAGGGCGGCCCGCCAGCGGGGGTGACAGAGTCAGGGTGTGCCAGAGCGCGGGCTGGGAGGCGGCCTCGTGCCAGCGGCGGCACACGCGTGCAGCCCTGGGAAAAAATCTCTGCTTAAGGGCCGGGCCTTTTGTGGCCGATGCCCGCCCCGACCAGCTGCCGCCATGGGGTTTTCTAAGAGGAAGGACCCGCCCCCCACAACTCTCACAACGCTGCGGACACCTCAGCTCAAAGTCAGGACCCTGCGGTTCCACCTGAACCACCTGAGAGACTGCGCACTCTGGCACGCATGTGTGGGCGCTTAGCCACCCGCTGCGTACGCAAGAGGTCAGCATGAGCTACAGCGCTGCGCGCGACGGGCTTGGGTACCTGCCGAGGAAGGGCATGGGCCCATTCGCCTCCACCAACAGCCCGAAAATCCGCAGCAGGATTTCCAAGGGGATGC